CTACTTTCTTTTTTGCCGCCTCGAGTGTGAACTCAAGGATGATGCGTCGCTCTCGCAAGACGCGATCTCACCCCCGCTAGCGGGAGCCCCTGCTTGACCGCGGTAATGTTCAGCGGGAATGCCAACCGCTCGACCACCGGCGCAATTGACGGGTGCCCCTGCTCGACATTTGGACTTCATCCCCGCGTCACCGCGGAAATTCGTCAGCTAACAGCACGGCCCAGGCCGTGCAGAGAAGCCATCGCTCACTCTGTGCACAACGTGCGTCATGGATGACCGGTCCACGACGGTGACGCCTTCTGGGCGACCAGGCGGTGCGTGAACACCTCGCTCCAGTCATAATCACTGCGACGCTTGACAACCAGTCAATCTCTGATTGATAGGGCGCCAATCACGGCATACCCGGGATGCAGTCAAACGCGTAATTCATCTCAATGACGAGGAAGTCGTCGTTGCTTCGGGAGCCGTCGAACGTGTACGGAAGTGTAATCTCGCGCCGCGCAACGCGGCGTGATTTCCCATTGGCCAACTTGACAGCGACCTCCCCTCCCCCTTTTGCGGACAGTGATGTCCGACGGAAGTACCGACAAGCACGACGCGCGAAAGAAGTTGTTGGTCGCTCCTGAATCAAGATGTGCTCCCAGTGGTCGCCGGGTGCCGGCGACGTGAAGACTGACAATGTTCAATCTTGAATCGCTCGGCGTGGCATGAAAGTGTGCATGTAGCACAGGAGGGCTTGGAGGTTGGGTTGCCACCGGGGGACCCGGACCTCCATTCAAGCAGCCAGTAGGGCGCCCTGCACCTACTGACCCTGACCGTATTTTGGCTGGTAAGGACTCACGGGCTCGGCATCGACGTGCGAAAGCGCTGGAGCTGGCGCGCGGCACTCCGCCACGCGATGACCGATCTTCCGGCAACGGAAGCAGGTGAGAGAGCGACCGATCCAAGCACTATTCCGACGCGCTACATGACGCTGATGATTGCTCGTCGCATTGATATCGTCGATGTTCATGGTCTCGGGCGCAGATTCCCGAGCTGATGCGGGCAGCGCGTGAGCGTGGTCCGCCGCAACCACGTAGTCCTCGCGTAGTGCAAGGTTAAAACGCCTCTTCGGGTGTAGAGGGATCCGATCTTGTAAGGCAGTAGCGCGTCATGCCTTCGCGCATACCGAACACGAACACATGAACCTGAGAGGTCATATCGATGGGCTTGGACACGATACACGACGCGAGGTGTCGTGTTCTCTGGACGTAGTCGTGCATAGTCATCGTACCTTGCCGAAGCGCGAAGACTTCTGCCCGAATTCAAGATTTATCTTGCGGTGGCTCGAACACAAGCCGAAGGTCACCCTGGAGGATATCTAGAGTGCGAAAGGCGTTGGGGTCGCCGACCAGCTTGCCGAGAGCCTATTCCTTAGCTTTCCCAGACAGCCGCGAGAGGAGGAAGTGAACATTCTTGGAAGGCGCGTCGATCAGCGTCGAGACGATGGCAATGTCGATCTCTCGAAACCAACGATTTAGCGGAAGTCGAGCTTCTCCGGCACCGGAGTAGGTGGACGTCTATCTAGCTTCACGACGTCATTCGTGGAGATACGGGAGGGAGTTGACACTCACCGATTTCCGTCGGGCGTCGCAGAGCGCAGCAGCGACGTGACGACGGCTTCTCCTGACACCGGCGCGAGGCGGTGGAGAGCTTCCCACTCGATCCGAGTGAGATGGAGAAAAGCAGCGTGGTCGAGGTCTTGGCTCATTTCGAGCTTTATCGTTAGATGGACTACGAAGTGCTATCAGGTGTAAGGGGTCACGTATATACCCCGTTACTTGCTTACACTACAGTTTTAAGGAAGCTCGCAATAGGACGACTGAGTCTTATGTTTAAGGAAAAATCAACTCTCACTAATTTTTAGGACAAAGGCCACTCAAATGCACGCCATAGACTAATTGGCTAATAATGGGTCTGGCTTCCCATATATCAGCCAATGGCGTGGCAGCATTTTCAGCACACGCTAGTCGTGTGCCGATGCACCTTAATATGTAAAGAAATCTACCTACTTATGCAATGGAGGGGACCATTACAAGGCACCAATGTCCGCTGCAACTTCATATACCATACCGCTGCTGATTAGTGCGCATTCGAGCGCCCACATTTCTGTCGTCAATATCCTGACGTGGTCCCAGTGCTAGACGTCCTGCTGCAGAGACCAATGTGGCCACAGTCCGGTACCCGCCGAAGGGTCAGTCCGCACGTATCTTTCAGTACCTCGTTTGGCAGCGGATTGCGCTCGACCCGCTCATCTGGCACCCCTCGTCATCATATCTTCGTGTCTGGGTTTCCACAAATTAAATGAGCTTCTCCTCTGTTTGCCACTGCTCCGATCTATGGATCAGGACACCATCTGCCTTTTTCGCTTCCTTTCCACAAGCGAAGACGCAATAATTTCAGTCGGATCAGATTCTGCTTGCGGAAGGGTGCTACGCGTTGAAGAGCGTATAGTCCTTTCCAAGACAAGAAGTAGAGAGCCTGCACCATCTCGCTGTAAGTCTTGCCCATCTTGCCTTGATCCGTACCTGCATTATGCTGCCTGATTGCCGCTATGATCCGTTTGCAAGCACGCCACGGCAGTTTTCACCGTCGCCGTCCAGCCCACTGTGGGCGCATTGCTGTTAGCATCGGGTGAGGCACCACTCATGTTGCGCTGCTATCCTGATAGATGTGCTTAGCGACCGCGATCTAGATGGTGTAGCTGGGCGATCTGGCCTTAACGGTTTATATATCGCCGTCGCAGGCACCCATAGATCAGTTTTCTATGGCGTCAAATGTGGCGCCATCGCTGTGAAACTTGGATCTATTAAAGTATACATCTTGGCCATCGTGTAGCGCAGGCGTACTGGCAGCTCAAGCGTCTTTCTGCTATAACGGCGAGTTCACAGCCGATTCCCCCCAATGCGGAGATGCTCTCAGCGTCGTTTTGACACCTACGTTCCTCGACAGCTGCCGCCTCAGCGCCGATACCCCCCCCAGCGCTCAGCGCACGTTTATTATCAACCGCTCCCACTGGATGTGGGTGTATCTTCACCGTCGTTAGAATAAATTATTTCCGTCTTGCCACCGCTGGTTAGTGTGACAGCCGTTCTTCGTACAGCCGTTGTTGTTTTGCAGAAATATCTGGTCAATCGCTGTTTCTTATGCCAGTACCTGCTCGGCACGGTACTTTGCTGAGTTCATGCGCGCTGATCTTTGGTTGGCCAGGACTTGCCAGTTAATTACATAAATGAGGTGGCCGTCAGACTGACTTGGATCGTACATTTGTAATCAGTACCCGAGTTGGTCTTCCTCGGCAATTGAAAACGACCGTGGCAATCCATTCGTTGGCACGTCGGACCCACAGTTCATGGACCGACTCGCTGGGTTGCTCCCTTGGTAGCCTAAACGCAGCGGTCATCCGACTTTCGATGGCCCGAATGGAACATTTGGCCCAAACTTTGTATTAGTCGGCGCATTGCTCGTCCGGATGAGAAGAATAACCATCGCATCTGGTAGCTTAGCTGACGCGATGTACAGATCGAGGCGAATTCCAATGGGGACCATTAAATCAGTACCGAAACTTTTATCAAGTCCGGCATGATGAGGTATAACTCACACCTCAAATTCGTATGCCATTTCCCGACCGAGCGTTACATTCACGATCGCTCGTGACATTGTCACGATTTTGTTGATATTTATTCCTTGTATGTAGATTCCCTTATCTCGACTGGTGACTCTCTTGAGCCGAACTTTCCTCGCAAAGAACTCCCTAATCGCCGAGACAATTGCTTCGGTGTCCAGAAAGACCTTAGACATTCGAACGCTCACATCTCCCGCTACGAAAATCCTCATTATAACTAGTAATCAAACGTCTGTGCTAACTACTATCACCGCCGATCTCCTGGAAGCAGCTTAATGTTTCTGGCACGGTGTGCAGACTGGTCTAGCCACCGAGTCGTACTTGCAATTGCTCGATTGTTATGTTCTAGCCAACCGAGCTCACTTTCAATACCGTCGATTTCACACATCCAATAGCCACTCTCGCTTCGCCCCTCAGACCGTTATTCTTCGCCCCAAAGGCGAGCAAAACGTTCGCCCCAATTGCATTACTGTGGCAGCCTGGTATATTCCAACTTAGTCCGTGTAGGAGGGCCGCCGAGTTTAAATCCCTCGGTATGTAAAGGTCTTGCAGATATTCTGGCACTTGTGGACAAAACGTTTCACGAAGGTGATCAACGTCTTGAATCAGCGGAGCAGCTCGCACTGACCAACTTCTTGGGTTTGTTTGCAGAGCTTGCAGCGTTCATAACAGAACTGAGCCGGATACCCCGGTCTCCCGTAGGCCACACAAGGTTCACGCTGTGATTTATCGCGTGATCCATTCCAGCGATTGGACTGTTTTTGTCGGTCATACAGTGACGGAAGTCGACGCGCCGCGTTACCTCGACTTCAACTAGAGTCATTCTGATCTATCACCGACTTCTCCCGACGGTCTACGGTCTTCCCGTTGTCGATGCAAAAACCGGTGTATATGTAGTCGCTGACCTCCGCGGAGGCGTACATAATGGACTGGCCCTGATCGCTCTACTCGCTTTCGGAGTTGTACGAATTCAACAAACGCCGATCGCGACGATCTTCTCCGTCCAAGTCTGCATCAACGAAGGTGATTCTGCGATTTCGACTGGCCTCGCTACGACTGCATCTCTCTTATCGGTGCCCTTTTCGGCGGGCTTCTCGACGAGACTCAGCGCGTCGCCGCAGCTCTTTTCGCGTATCTTCTTTGCCTCGCGCAGACACAAGTCGGTATCGCTGCTTCTTGGGTTTCTCACCGAGGATCCAGCGGCTGATAATTGTTCTATCTTGACAATGCCTTCCAACTGCAGAAAGTATATTAAATACATCACACCGTCGTCTGTACAATGCAACAAGAAGTGTTTGATACAACTCAGCTGGAAACGGCCCTTGATTTTGATAAAATGATCTCTCTCCAACAGAATGGATACGGCCACTGTCTTTCTGAGCTCGGATTCCTGGATGATGACGACATTGAAAGCAGCGATGATATTTACATTTTAGTCGACCTGCCTCTGAGTGTAAATAATATGGTTTATTGTGATCGTAAGTTTCTTACTACCTCCCTACTCGCTCTTGCTGATGGAATTTTGTGCAGGAGAAGCCAGAAGAATAGCTTTCTGGCACTGGGCTGCGGTCTACATCACTCTGGGATTGGCTGCATACCGGCACCTTTTTTCAGCGGGTAAAGCCTCACTTGCAAAAAAGGATGCTTAAAAGGGCTGCTGAATGCTCCGAGTTTCTCCACGTATGCCTTGGTTGTTCTAGCGATGTTATCAGGATATTTGGCGATGCCGCCAAGAAATATTACTGGGGGTCAAAAGTAAGGAGTCTGCGGGTTAGCTGTTCTGGGTTAGTTGTGTAAGTGGTTTGACGATGCAGCCAGGCTAGCATGCATTTTGCTCTGTCATCTACGGTACTAAAAAACGAGTCTTGATGTACCACACCATCTGAACACTAGATTAATCATCAAACCAGTTTTTGCTGGTGTGCATCCCTCCGCTTGCGTCTTCCGCGTTCGTGGCGTGTCATGAGCACTTTTCCCACTACTTCCAGTATATCTGCTGAGTTAGCGTCTTCCTCCTGCTACTATCGCCTATCGAACGGCTTCAAAAACGTCTATAACCCAATAGGAGCCATAGTGCGGAGGCAACAGAGTCATTTACCGGAAGACCAGCCGCCCCTAGTGCCCGTAAATAGTGCTACCAACAGTGAAAACAATGAGCCAGGCGGTCCTAAGACGCTGGATCAGCTGCATCTTCGTGTTCTGAGCAGGGACGAGCACTTTGTGGTGCTGAACAAGGGCCCCGACGTGCGGATGGACGGCGCTTTTGACGTGACATTGGAGAAAGCGGTGAGAAGCATGTTGCAATTTGGTGACGGGTGAAGAAAAAGCAGCTATGGTACAAATAACTGAAATCATTTTGCTCGTTACGATGCTAGTTGGCGAGGAATTTTCCTCAAGTGGAAAAATTCCGATGGATTCACCAATTGGACTTTGGTACCAACTACTATAAAGTAGAATTTGAGAATTTGAAGACTGACAATGTAGTGGTGACTGAACTTGCAGCGACGTCGGGTGTCTGTGTTGTTAAAGAGTGAGCGGAGATTTTGAAGAAACGCTGAAAAAAAAGCTGAACTTTGTTGTGTAGCGCGGCAGCGACAGGGTGTCGACTTTTTCGCGAAAAGCAGGTGCAGAAGGAATATTTGGCGGTAGTAAGAGGACATTTGCCGTTCAATCCGGCGGAGAGCGTGGATACCGCTGGTTTGCCTGCGAAAGCCTGCACCTTTTCGAAGTTAGGTTTGTTGATTCAAGACATGGAGGAGATGGAGAGGTTGAGGAACCAGCAGCGAGGCTCCAGAGCACACCAGAAAACGCCTGGGTATCCTCGTGGAGTCCGACATGGCCCGAACTTGTTTACGATGGAGCAAGCTCAGCTTCTGCGCGAGAGTCAAGAACACCCAAGAGGTGAAGTACGGGGCTCCAGTAATAGAGCTGAAGCACGGGAGTTGACACCCGCGGAGTTGGCATTCACGAAGATGACGTGGCCCGATTTGACTAAGGAGGAGAAGGGCGCATATACGGAAAAGGCAAAGGCAGACAAGCAACGTTTTCTAAAGGAGTTCAGCGAGTTTTTAAGTCAGGAAAAGGTCCGACTCGCTTGCAAGCGCAAGTACGAGAGTTTCGATGGAGAAGACAGCGAGGAAGCGAACGAGCCGGTCGCCTATGTATTCGACGCTCCAATAATTGAGCCACACCGAAGTACTGGAGTCTTCCGCATGTTGGTGGGTACTGAGACGGACACTGCAGCCAAGCAGTCGACCACGGTTTGCTTTGTTTTGGGCCACGCAATGTACAAGGGAGAACCTGTGACGAAGGTGTTGTTGCGTCCACTAAACGGCCGTCGACACCAACTGCGACTTCACATGGCACACCATGGCTTTCCTATCGCAGGTGATGTCACCTACGGCTCACAAGAGGATGAAGCACCTCGAATGATGTTGCACGCGTGGAGAATTTGGCTTCGCGGACGTCCGGCAGATCAGGTTTGTAGACAACCAGGGGGTCTGTCAGACGGAAGATGCTAATGATTTATGTTTGGAAATCGTTTTAGAAAAAGTATGGCGATCTTTACTTCGAGAGTCCAGATCCATTCGACCTCATCGTGCCAAGTGAACGTGAAGTGTGTACTATTACATACCACAAGCACAAGGAGCAAAAGGCAGCTGAAGCGAGCAAGGAATCCTCAAGCCAAAGTGCTTAAATGTTGCAGATCTTGAGATTTGACTGGCATCTAAACTCCAGCTTCGTCCAGCTGATGCAGTACGCCGATTACGTCCACGGTCGATGGATGCTCAGGTCCCTAAATTACAAGACAAGATCCGGCAATCAGTTCAAAATTTGAACACAGTAATAGAGATAACCTACCAGTGCGTTGATGTAGATATCTAGAGCCTGTTTCACGAAAGCCTTCGCCTGTATGTGGTCCCCCAGGAAGAGAAACAGCAATCCCAAAGTGTACTGCACTTCGCCAGTAGCGACATGCTTGGAACCCAGTAGATTCTGGCGGATACTGACAATCTGTTGAAGCATGGAGCTGGCTTCTTGGACACGCAGACGTCGATGTTCCAGCATCCAAGCAGCCGTGTCTTCAGGCGGATTAGTTAGGAACCGATACCAGATATCCACGACTTTGTCCAGCATGGCAAGTGCACTGTCGTTTTGCTGATTACGTTGCTGTAGCTCACGTTGTCGCTGTTGAGACTCTTGTTGAGGCTGCGCTTGCTGTTGTCTGACAGCTGCACGTTGCATGCGGTGGAAGATGAGGCCCAGACAGAAGTAAAGCTCCGACGTGTACAGATGATCGGGTCCAAAGAGTAGAGAACAGTGGTAGGCGCCATGAGCTGCACGTTGAAGACCTTCAGAGAAGGCGCCGTACTCAAGATGCAACAGACTGTAGAGTTTATTCATTCGAATCACAAGCAGATTCTTCGTCTCTTCTGGTAATTCCGGTTCAGAAGCCCCAGCACCAGTTTGTACTGTCGAGTTGTCGACACCGACTTTACGATCTTTGACCAGTAGCCAATTCACTAAAGAGAGCACTTCCTCGGCAGGTTTGAGTTGCCTCTCTCGCAGCGAAATTTTGACTAGCACGAGGTAAAATGGGACGAGTTGAAGCGAGTTCTTGCCGTAATTGTCGGTCGCCAGCTTCAGTGCTGCTACTGCTTTCGTATGCGCGGGCTTGAGTTGCCTTAGGAAACACAACTCTTCACTCTCACGACGCATTTGCTCACATTGTTCGTGCGCAGAAGGACCATCAGAGGTGTCTTCAGGACCGTGGCGGTGAGGACTTGTGGACATGACCGAGAGGTGATGCTATAAAGGGTCGGCTAACGTTACTTATTGTTGTTGCATATATTTGAAACTTAAGTTAGAAAAACCGAGCTTTGCGGCTTGCACGGAGTTAATAAAAATATAGGTGTGAACGGGATCTGGACACAAGTTATCAGCTTAACGTCAATACCAGGCCTTAAACCGCCATAACGCTGGAACGCATTACATTCGGGCAGGTGTCTAAAAGCAATTTCTTTAAATCAGTTCCAGCTGCATTCCCAGCGAAAGCCTAGTTTCACCAGCAACAGTACTACTAGCACGTGCCGTACCTTCGCATTCCACTTAGCGACCGTGCGCTTATCGAACCCGTTTCCATCGCAATGATCAGTTACTCCGCTGGTAAACCGGCACTTTCGACAATTAATTTTGACGCTGGAAAACCCGGCACTTTCGACAATTAATTTTGACGCAACCAATTTCTGGTTGCTTCCAAATTCGAATGTTTGGAACACCGGCAATGATTCCCCTCAGCACACCCATGTGCACGGTCTGGTCCCAACGCTTGCATTCGCATAGAAAAAGTGGCACGTATACATCACTTGAGATGGCCGAAAGTGTAGCCATCGTCAGTACTCGTACGGGTTGCAAGTATGAAATCTGGCCATTCAGCATCGGGAGGAGCAAGGAAAGGAATCCTCTTCTGCACTAGACCAGTATAGCCGGAAAATAAATCGCATGTCTTGACTCATTTTCAATTGGAATAATCTGCAACCCGTTGTGAAATTCGTCGAGCAACGCACTGAAGAAGCAGCCACTTAGTCGTGAAGCAAATGAGCGACCATGCGACCGTGTTTCCTAATGAGCTTAAGTCGTTTTTCACTGCATGCGCAGCTCCATTTGATCGATCATAGTACAGTATTGTAGTCCGAAAAACGCTTCCCACCTTGTACAGTACCGAGAGGTAACGCAACGCGTCCGCTTCAATTTTCGGGAAAATACACTATGGTTTCCGTGTCAACCATCAACTTTCCTTCTGACAACTCCTCATCAGTGAGCTGATCGTCCAGCAAGTTTGCGAAGTGAAAATTCATTCTTGAATGTAAACTCGCTACCTGAAGTATCAATCACTACAGGCTTCGTCGTTCTTCTCAGCAATAATCTTGCGAATATGCTCAGCCACAGTTTCACTCGAGTTGCTGGCAACGGAAAGCCGGGTGGGCAGTGATTCCAGCGCCTTGAGGATCGGGTGTTGCTCAATCTCTGACTCAGCGACACCTAGTGCCTTCGACACCACGGGGAGGAACTTGCCGTAGTGGGCAGTGCCGACTACAACTACCGCCGAGTTTGGCTTGTCTGCAAGGTTATCCTGGACAAAGTGCATGGCAGCTGCTGCGCCAATAGCGCTGTGCGGGTCGAAGAGGTACTGATGCATCGTTTTGTACTCCGCAATAGTGGAGCGCACCTGCTCCTGAAGCACCGCATACGATGCCATCTCGTCTTGTGCCTTGGAGAGCAGCTCGCCCGAGATCGTGAGCTCATTAGTCTGCTCGAAAGCCTGCATCCAGCCGCGTAGAATGTCGTGGTTCTCGCCGGACAGAGCGAAGAGATAACGTTCAAAGTTACTCGACACGCAAATGTCCATGGACGGGGAAATCGTGTGCTCGATGTCGCGGCGGTGGTATTTTCCTGTGGAGAAAAAGCGGTGCAGGATATCGTTCTCGTTGGTAGCCACAATCAGCTTGCCAATGGGAACACCGAGCTTCTTGGCGTAGAAACCGGCAAGGATGTCACCGAAGTTGCCTGTTGGGACGGAGAAGGCAACCTCGCCGCTAACACCCTCGTCGTGAGCACGGAAGTAGGCCCAGACGTAGTACACGATCTGCGCCAAGATACGCGCAAAGTTAATCGAGTTGACGGCACCTAGGTTGTACTTGGCCTTGAAGTCAGCGTTGGCAAAAAGGTCCTTGACGATAGCCTGGCAGTCGTCGAACGTGCCCTTCACAGCCACGTTGTGGATGTTCTGGTCCAATACAGTAGTCATCTGTCGCTGCTGAATGGCGCTCACACGACCCTCGGGGAAGAGGATGAACACCTCGACGTTCTCCTTGCCGCGGAGACCGTATATGGCCGAGCTACCGGTGTCGCCTGAGGTGGCGCCCACGACTGTGATCTGGTGTTTAGGAGCGTCAGAAGGCAGCGCCTCGTTCTTGCGCTTTAAGAAAAACTCGAAAAGGTTGCCTAGAAACTGGAGAGCGATATCCTTAAAGGCAAACGTGGGGCCATGGAAGAGCTCAAGCACCAGCATTTGATCCGTCACCTTGACCACCGGCGCCACCTCATCGGAGCGGAACGTGGTCGCGTTGTAACTCTTGGTCACAAGCTCACGCAGCTGGTCACGCGAGATCTCGCTTTCGTCAATGAAAAGGCGCATGACCTCCACGGCCAATTCCTGGTACGAAAGAGACGCCCACTTCTCCAGCGCATCAGCTGGAAGCGTAGGGAACTCGTCAGCTTCGGGTATCAGCAGGCCACGGTCGGAAGCCAAGCCCGTCAGCACCGCCTGCTCAAAGCTAAGGCCGCGGACGCCGCCGCGAGTACTACGATAGTGCACCATCGTAAGGAGTTGCCGGCAAAAACAAGAGTGCGTTGGCACAAAGGTTGCGATGTGAGCCGCTCAGAAACTTCTTGCAGTGGAGACGCGTCCTCCGATAGACACAACATTGGAGCAACACTCATCGTTGCGCAAACGAGCTGACGTAGAATTTGTGAGCCACATAATATTAATACCTTAGAGGTATTAATACATGAGTTTATTAATATTACAGACGTAGTGATAAAATCGAGGAATTACTAAAAGGGCCTGGTTGGGGAACGTCGTTTCGGTTTTGACACTTTCAGATGGACCTAGCCCCAGTCTGATCCGATCCATTGGCTCTCGGTTTTGACTCGAGAATACGGTCAAATAGCTCACAGCGGCGATCGCGTCTCTTTATTACAAGCCTTTCCGAAACTTAGCCAACCCTGCAGGATGGCGCTTCACGTCACTCAGTCGGTGCAGGGTTTTTCGAAGAGCTTAAATACAGGTGGCAGCGTGTACACTCGTTGTGAGGACTAAGTGATTACACGACAAATTCCACAGTTGGCATCTGCTATCGCACGCATGTAAGACCCATTACGGTAATAGAGTTTATGCAACGCTTCTATTGCTGCTAGCTCGCTGCTCTAAACCTCTTACGCATAACAGAAGTCACCGTTTGCCATACCAACTGACTACGCCGCTGCTTGCGCGCGTTTGGCGTCACGCCAGGTACCGCTAAGACGTCTTCGCACTGGCGAAAAGCAAGTACGGCTGTTTCGGTGGTAAGTGCTCGTGCGTCGATATTGAGCGATACTGCTTGCTGTTCGACCAGTCCCATTAAGAGCTTGAAGCCTGGTCGTCGTTTTTCCTGCTTAGCGTCTCTAAGATCGACACTCTTTAGCCTGTGAAACGTAGTAGAGATCTTGATACATCCCCGCAGCACCAAAACACCCATGCTTGCTCAGCCGTGCCTTCGGAGAGTGTTACACCTTCAGAAAAAGCGTAAAAGCTTCCGCCCCTGCTGTGAAGTGCGTAGTTAATGCTGCTGGCTCGATCAGCCGCCGTTGTGGCCGTTGTTGTGTCTGCGACTGTGCCAGACTCGCCTCTGTCGCCCAGATCCGGTTGATGGCGCAGATTATTCTCCTTCTCGAGGCAAATAAGTAATGTAGTTGCAATGCGGGCACAGTTCGGAGTACCCCGGGTATCTGCGGTGTCATCAAGAGCTGAACGAACACCCGCAACTACATCGCTTACGATATTCTGCTGTGATTTTCGACTGCGGCATTTAATGATCAAAATTAGGATAATAATACAACATGAGGTGGTATACCAGTGGGTGCAATGCTGCCATCTCCACTGGCCACGTCACATTTGATAAACGTTTTGAGTTCGTGCAGAATCTGTTCATCCCTCATTAAAGGACGGGATGACTTTCTGGCAATTTGTCCTTCAAGTACTCGTGATGATAAATAATAGACGCCAGCGAAAATTCGCCAATTAGGGATGCGCATTGGGATAGTTGGCGAAAGGCAATTAGTTTGGCCGACTCCACTTGTCCACACCCTTCTCGAAATCTTAGTGGTAAGGTACATCGAGTATGGGCAAACCCGACACTGTCCGACAAGCGAACATATCTCCGGCTGAGTCGTACCTCAAATACCGGTCTTGAACACCCCCCAGAGCCCAATCAGCCCGTACGTAAACATCAATGGCAGGCGGACATGCCGTCGAACTGGACGAACAGTATGTAGCAGCACCTTTTCTGATGGAATGGGTACCGATGTCATCACAGTTTGTACCACGGCGCTCTAGCTCATGTGCCATACTGGTGCTCTCTAGTACTCGGCGAAGCGCTTTACGAAAGCGATCATACTGGTCGCTCCCGGTAACACCTGAGTTGCACTCGAGTCAACACCTATACACCAGCCAGTACAAGCCTACATGGATAGATCGCTAATGTTACAACTACGAACAACACTATGAGGCAAAATGACATCTAATAGTACGCACCGATAGCGAGAATTGGACAAATATCAGGCATCAGGAGGTTCGCGTGTATGTGCCGAGGGTCCCTTGGGCGAGTACCGCCCTGGTCGTTTTTCATGTGGGCTAAAAATACTTTTAGGGCATCTTCACCCCACTCCATGTGGTTGTAGCATATATATAACTGTATTTGCGGCTCGAGGCGTTAGGTTCCATGACATCAGAAGAAATGCTCGCGCGGACACCATCTCGCGCGACGAAGATTTCATCATTTCCGCTGCAATGCTACGGTAGAGACCGAAAGTCATTAGATATTTGCCAGCCTTAATTGAGCCATTCCCACTGCTAATTGCACCCGCAATTCGATGTTGCAAGCTTTTAGTATGACAGCCCAGCTTGCGCTCTAGCTGAGGAGTCATGGTAGAATGGTAGTCGCGAAAAAGGTTGTACTGTGCCGAGCGATGCCCTGCGTAGGTTGAGAATGATAACCGCCGTTTTTGTTTTTTTATGGACAATATCCAAGCTAAGAAGTCAGCCGTCGTCACGTCGTTAAAAAGAAGCGGGGGGGGGGTCCGGCGCAGACGAGAGTGCAGCGAGAATTGACGATTTAGTTGCATCACCCCTGCAATCAAACTGCAGTTCGTCGCGGAGCTCGGCAGTAATTAGGGACGGCTTGTACCGCAGCATCCAATTCAGCATTCGAGCGGTAGAGTTAAGGTAGCTAGCACGCGACTTTGTCGCGATTGTACTTGCCCTTGTGAGAGCAACTTCTTCGTCCAACTCGGCAAGGTTGATCTCGTCATTGGCAGCCATCGAATTTTTTGCAGAGGGAGCTTTCAGAGTGATAGTTCGGCGACCTCTTAAGTTTGATTACCGGATGACTGTCTGGTACAGTATCCATTGTCCTGCAGCTATTGTTATTATAACTACATTTTGTAAGACAACTGTTGAGCAATTCGGAAAATACCGGAAGCTCGTCCGGTGATTATATAGTCAGTGACCTTATGATTTCCGGTAATTTCCAGGTAATTTATAATGACGGACATCGTTTACCAGAGGTACCTATTTTTGCGATGTGGACCGTTCTGTAAAGGTCAATCAAAGAATGATAACGCTGTTTCCTCCCACCCTATTTCGACAATTCCTTTCTGCATTGTGCGGATCCCAGCTCGCGCTGGGGTGCAACTGAAATCGCTTCAGATGAGTGCCTGGCGCTCATTGACGTTGTAGGAGCAGCGCCGAGCAGATCGCGAACAAAATATAGCCGCACACAGATACAGAAGGGAAGCCATGACGGAGGAACAAAGGGACCACCGAAAAGAAAAAGAGCGGTATCGCCGTCGTTCTCGGCAGTACAAGAAGGGTCTTGCGCACCACGAAGATTTTGATCCTTCCAAAAAGGACGGTGTCGACACTATTTCACGCGTTACAAGAACAACCGTCGAGACTGCGAACAGCTCTGTCACTTTTGCAACGCGTGGGAGTTTTCTCAAGAGACAGGTGGATGCTGCTGTCGTAACGGACTGGTGCTCGTTCCATCTTCACGAACAGCACCTGATGCGCTTCTGACACTTTTCGAAAACCCAATCTTCATGCGGTCAATCCAGGCCTACAACAACGTTTTTGTATTTACGTCCTTGGGAGCTTCGCGGTCTCGGCCTCTTAGCGTTGATGAAAGCGTGACACGGAATGGTGTCTACAACTTCCGTGTATAAGGGTCAGTGTGCCATCGCAAGGGATCGTTACTACCTCCTACCTTCGGTCGCTCCATGTTTGCCCAAGTTTACGTTAACGATCCAGATATAGATGCACGTGTGCGAAGTCGTGTGAACATGAAGCAAGGCCTCGATCGCGCCGTTATGAAAAAATTGACCAGATGATGGTGGCGCACAGCCCGTACACACAAGAATATATCAACTCACGTAGATTTGTGATAGATCGCGGATGGGAGGCGTATGCAGCAGCCATCAGGGAGCACGAACGACGCCGAGCGACAGGGGAAGACGTTGATGACCATGATCCGTCATTAGGCTTGAGTAAGTTTCTTCCGGAGGGGGATCACCTTAAGCTGCGTCTGCACGTCACACAGAATGCAAATCCGGGTACGCATAACACCCCAACTGCATCAGAGGTGGCGGCCGCTGTGATCGACACAAACGCATCGGATCATTATCCTACACACGACAGGAGGAGGTTTCAAGCGCATCTTTGAGACGAGCGTTACCTACGACCCGCTCCAGTACCCTCTACTCTTTCCGTATGAGGAGAAGGACTGGACTTACGATATCCCGTACGTTGGTAATCCCGTCGATCGCTACGGGGACCCGTTAACGATGTCCATACGGGAATATGAGGCGTATTTGCTTTACAACCGGACGGTTAGTAATTCTCTTATCCTGCGCGGTGACGACTGATGCAGCAATACTGTGTTGATCAATGAGCCAAATGCGAACAAGAACGCCTGCGCTTCATTCAGAAGAACCAACTCCAGTATCGATGGGAAACCCTCCAGTGACCCACGGACGCATCGCGTGGCGAGTCAGTTAAAATTCACAGAATGGCAACTGACGACGAGGCGGTCATACGTAGGACTCGGCGTGGGAATAATACGGAGCAGGTGTCGGCGGAGCCAGATGCGGGTGAGCTTGGACGCACGATCATCATATCTCCGAAGTTTACAGGTGGTCCCCGCTACGTGTACCGACGCTTCTTGGATGTCATGGCTATCGTCCGAGAAACAGGAGCCCCTAACCTGTTCATTACGATGACATGCAACCCGAACTGGCCTGAGATCAAGGAGAACTTACGCCGTGGGGAGAAGGCATCCGACTGACCGGACATCGTGGCTCCCGTGTTCATGGAGAAACTAAAAGCGCTTAGCAAGGATCTCGATGAAGGTGTGCTGGGGAATAAACCGCTCGAGTCCATGTAGTGGAATATTAGAAGCGTGGGCTTTCCCACGCCCACATACTGTTTATCCTGCGGCCGGAGGACAGAGGTAGACGTCGATAAGCTGGTGTTCGCGGAGGTTCCGGACAAAGAGAAGTTCCCTGAGCTGTATGATACGGTGATTTCCAATATGGTGCAT